TCGTCTATTACGCGTGGGTCCGATATTGTGCGCGAATTGTACGCGTGGCGCGAAAGAAAACAGAGGGCCGGCCGGAGCGGCTCGCATGAATCGCCGCGCGACCCCTGATAAATGCTCGTTCCCCGGAAGTCTCATTGCGGTTCCGCGGATAGACAGTACTTTATGATTCCTCGCGCGATCATCTGGCCCGTGGAACGGTACGTCGAGAACGCGAGCCGCCGCGTACCGGTTCGGAAACTCGTTTGTCGCGGACGAAATTCAATTTCTCGAGTTTACAGTTCTGAGCCAGTTTTATATGAACTGATATAAACGACGTAATTCAGAGATATTCAAAGTGAGACCAATTATTCTAGGAACTCGAAGTTAAAAACAAAAAGATCCGTATAGATAGTTAATTCATTATTTATTAAGCTATTAATTATTTTATTAATATATTAACATGTCTATACGACTTTTAAGAAGACCAATTCAAAACCGCTGGAATGTAAAATTATTCTGTAATCTGTTCTCATGATTTAACTAGTTGCTGATGACAAGTGAACTGGGCGTGTCTTTCAATTGACATAATTTCATTTTGATAGTATTCATTTCTGTCGAGTTTTATGCAATTTAGTAGTTTTATTTTCATTCTCCATTTTAAGCAATATTTTGTATTTTGTATATTGTGGCACACATAATACAGTATTTTGTATTTTACACATTAATAAAATATACATATAATAAGTATAAATATATAATAATAATAATAATAATAATAATAATAATAATAATAATAATAACAATATAACTATAAATATATATAAGTAAAAATACAGCGTTTTGTACTTTGTATAATGTAGTACATATAATACAGTATCTTGCATTTTATAGTACAGTACAGTACGTAAAAAATACAGTATTTTATGTCTTACTATTTCGTTTATGCGAACCGAGTGTGACGGTTCGGATAATGGAGCGAATCCACGAAATTGTTCAGAACAGTTTCGAAAACTTGCAACAGCATTATCCTGGAATAATCGTTTACGATCCGATCGTCCGGCATATAAATAGGCATCACGTGTCGGCTGACAAAAGTCCCGCGCCCGAGGGCACGAGATAAGCTTCGAGAGAATCGGCGAGTTCCGATGATTTCTAATTGGTAGAAAGCAACCGCGATGATGCCTCCTTTTTCCCGTTTCGCTCCGGCGGCCGGCGGAACAGATTTTCCGCCAAGGACAAATAGTTACACGACCGAGCGCGATAATAAGACCGTTCAACCGGTGAAAACCGAGATCGCTTTCATTTACAAGTGGGTAATTAACTGCGTCTATTTTTAGAAACGCTCCTCCGCTCCGGACAAATTTTTTAAACGGTCGAGAGACTGCCGCAGAGCGATTGCGAATATCATGGAAGCAGCTGAAACTTTGATTTTTAATATTTTTTTCATTTTTATTTAATTTAATTTTATATATTATTTATTACATCATCATTTATTATTTACCATGTAAATAATAAATATCCATTAAGAAACGGCAAGAAAATGTCCAAGAGGATTAGAAATTAATTTTCAGAATTTTCTAGAAACAGAAAATTGGAGAATTAATGGTTTCCAGGGTTGAACGCGAGTTTCGGGATCAACGCGCTGGATTTGCAAATGGGCTTGCTTTCAGGCAGGATATTTATCGCGCCGATTAGATAACAATTGCAGTGTAAGATTCGTCAGATGCATTGCGCTCGATTTGCAATCGGTGTTGCGTTCCTCGCAGCGTAAATAAGAAAGCATTCTCGTGACGTTATCTAACTGCGAGAAATCTAAGAGTTCCGTTTCACTTCGTGGCGAGTCACCATAAATCAAAGCAATACTTGCGTATTATTGTCCCTATCACAGTCACGTCAAAGAATGCGCTGGCAAAACGGTGCAGAAAGGGAGAGAAACAGTGCGCGCGAGAGAGAGGTCGGCTAAGGTCCACAGTCGTTTAATTGTAATTAAAATCGGATCCTTCATGCACGAGCATGTGACAGAAATATACCGATTCGTGCGACGATAAATTCAGTTTTAATGATCGCAATATGTATCGAGATACAGCAATTAATGTTATAATGACAATGCTTAATTGCGATTCCTATATCATAATTATTCGTGTAGCGAATGATCTAATTTTTCATAATGTTTCATGCTGTGCTGTATACCCTTTGTTTGTTCCTCAAAGTTTATTGGATTCAGAATTTTTTACGGGCACGAACAATTCATTCCCGATCTCACAAGTTATGGTCTCCCAAAAACCTGAAGTACTTGACTCGTGCACTCCCAGTACTCTTGAGTACTCAAATGATCGTCTCCCAAAACTCTGATGCACTTCACTTGACTCATGGAATCCCAGCATTTTCAAATACATGGCTTATGAATTCCCAATACTCTTTGATTTTTTCCTTGACTCATGGTTTCCCAGAACTATTTAAATACTTGACTCATGGACTCCTAGAACTTTTAAATACTTGACTCTTGAATTTCCAATACTTTTGAGTACTTTATTCAACCTATACACTTCCAGGATTTATAAATACTTCACCGATGGACTCCCAGCAATTTTAAGTACTCGACTCATTGATTCACTCTCCAATATTTTACTCAACACATGGACTCCCACGACTTTCGAGTACACGACTTATGAATTCCTAATACTCTTTAACATTTTTCTTGACTCATGGACTCCCAGAACTATTTAAATACTTGACTCATGTGGACTCCTAGAATTTTTAAATACTTGACTCTCTTGAATTTCCAATACTTTTGAGTACTTTATTCAACCTATACACTTCCAGGATTTATAAATACTTCACCGATGGACTCCCAGCAATTTTAAGTACTCGACTCATTGATTTACTCTCCAATATTTTACTCAACAGATGGACCCCCACGACTTTCGAGTACTTATGAATTCCTAATACTCTTTAACATTTTTCTTGACTCATGGACTCCCAGAACTATTTAAATACTTGACTCATGAACTCCCAGAACTTTTAAATACTTCTCTCTCGAATTCCCATTGCATTGGAGTACATTGTTCAGCTGACTGTCTGTCAGAACTGATGAATACTTCACCGCAGCCTCCCAGAAGCTTGGAAACGATCAAGACATATTTATTAACCCGGCAAACACCTTCGGATTGCAGCACTCCACGAACAGAGGCCCGCGGACCACCACGAAACCCGCTATTAGCCAGACACTGATTTCCCTGTCCGAACGTATTCAGAAATTGGCGCAACTCGGAGCAATCAATTATTCCGTGTTGCTCCAGAAATGATCCCCCAGCCACACGGCGACCGTGTTTGCATAAATCCCGTTCTATCGACGAACAAAAAAAAAACATCCGGAAAATTAAGGCGAAACTGCGTTAGAGCTTTGAAAATCTACTGGATCGGTTCTTCGCACCGCGCCGCTCTCCGACCGAGCAGAAGAAGAATCGCCAAGTGAATTTATTGCTGCGATTACGGGAGTACGTGCGCGACGATACCGCCTCTTTTTCGCGGATCGCCGACACTTAGGCGAACCACCTGTTGCGCAAGGAAACGCTGATTGGCGGCGTGGAATCTTTATTTTTGTTTAGCGAGCTGCAACGGGCCGCGCGGCGTGGCATTAAGAAAGCGTGCCTCGGCTGTGTCACTGATTGATGACTGCATGAAGACAATCTAACCCGAGGGGGGATCAGCTCGTTTCGTCTGTCGAGTCGTCGAAACGATTGGGACCCTTGAATCAATTCGCCATCAAGGTTCTGTTATTCATGATTTACGAAACCCGAAAGTTTTGATTGCGACCGTTCTTGAAACTTCGTAGCGTGATCAGGGGTAGCACGAAGTTCTGAATGGTGACTGATGAAGTATTCAGAAATTCTGGATGTGCGTGGGTTGAAGAAAGTACTTCGAAGTAGTGGAAATTCGAGAGTAAAGTATTCAGGGGTCTTCGAAGTCCATGACTCGAATAATGCATTTACAAGTATTGGCAATCCATGAGTCAAGTATTCAAAAGTTCTGGAAGTCCATGACTCGAATAATGCATTTACAAGTACTGGCAATCCATGAGTCAAGTATTCAAAAGTCCTGAAAATCCATGAGTCAAGTATTCAAAAGTTCTGGAAGTCCATGACTCGAATAATGCATTTGCAAGTATTGGTAATCCATGAGTCAAATATTCAAAAGTTCTGGAAGTCCATGACTCGAATAATGCATTTGCAAGTATTGGTAATCCATGAGTCAAATATTCAAAAGTTCTGGAAGTCCATGACTCGAATAATGCATTTGCAAGTATTGGTAATCCATGAGTCAAATATTCAAAAGTTCTGGAAGTCCATGACTCGAATAATGCATTTGCAAGTATTGGTAATCCATGAGTCAAATATTCAAAAGTTCTGGAAGTCCATGACTCGAATAATGCATTTGCAAGTATTGGTAATCCATGAGTCAAATATTCAAAAGTTCTGGAAGTCCATGACTCGAATAATGCATTTACAAGTACTGGCAATCTATGAGTCAAGTATTCAGAAATCCTGGAAGTCCATGACTCGAATAATGCATTTTCAAGTACCGGCAATCCATGAGTCAAGTAATCAGAATTCCTGGGAGAACGAGACTCAAATATTAAATAATCTTGGGAGTCCACGACTCAAATATTAAAAAAATCCTGTGAGTCCACGACTCAAGCAATTAGAAGTTTCAGCAGACCATGAGTTGAATAAAGTACTTCTTGAAGTATATGAACATGTACTGAACAGTATTGGGAATCCATGAATCAAGTACTTGAGAATCTTTTGAGTTCATACGAATACCCCAGAGTTCTCCAAATCCCGGAGTCTCTCGCTAAAATTGTTCGCCCAATTCATTTCGAATAATATTCAAACGATAATCCTCCAATGAAATTTCCACAAACATGCAAATTTCATATATAAAAATTCGCTCTCCAACAAATAATTTCCTGGAAAATAAACGGTTTGTAACAATGACTTGTATTATGAAACGAACGTTACCCGAGGAATCCTGCTGGCGTCGATGACTCGTCCCCGGTTGATCGATGTTCGTTCGACGACCCCTGAGCGATCGGCAGAGGCGGCAGCGCGCAGTGTCCACAGGTTGGTGCCAGGCTATCGGTCCCTAGACGCACGCAGGATCACGCGCATGTTAACGCACAGAGCTTCCACACAGTCGGCACAACTCATTCTATCCGGACACGTGAGTCTCGATCGAGCATCCTCGGCCCGGGCATCGATCCTGTACACCACCAAACACAAAACCGATTTAATCCACGGCTGGCCTCGGGACCGTCTCGATAACTCCTGATCGTGTTATCCACCTGAGATATCGTCGCCGGTAAACACTTTCTCCCTCCTCCCTTTCCCTTTCTCTCCGGGCGCCCTCCCTCCCCCGCCGCGCGGCCACGAAAATAACCGTGATTGCACAGACAAACACGTCGACGATTTCTTCGAGTCACGAATTCCTAGGCCGAGCGTAGAAACCGGCACGTGCCGCGACGATCGGACTCAGAGGAGCCGCCGGCACGAACCGAGGAGGTTCTAGCCGACCAGCGAGCAGCTCTTCGATCCTCGGAGCCTTCGACCAACTACAGGGACCAGCTGCGGGTCCCTCGGAGGGGCGCGGAAAAATCGAGGGGAATTCGAAATCCGTTTCGAACTCTGTCCAATCGAACGGTGCCCTAAAATCGCTTAGCACTCGGCGAACACTTCCGACGACGGAGACTCTCGTCGCCCGGGAAACCACGAGATCACGGCCCAACAGGATCCACGTCCGGATTCGTCAACCTCGCTCCGTGGAAGCGATCGTCAGACTAAAGTCATCGTTCCACTGGAAACCGAGTACGTGCATGGGTTTCTTATCCCTCCTGTTAGCTCGAAATCCGTTCCTTCTCTCTCCTTCTCGTTCAAGCTGTGCCTCCCTGTCGCCTGGAACTCTCACTGCCTCTCTCTCTCTCTCTCGCTCTCGTCACCGCTCGCTCTCTCCCTCTCTCTCTCCCACCGACCGGCTCACTCTCTCCTTCTCCCTCTTGCCGATTCTGTCATCGACTGTGGTAGGGGCACCAATTCCAAGGATATGCCGGCCGTCGATCGGAAAAAAAATTCATTTTACGGACAATTTGGAAATTCGAAGCTCCGCGCTCGTCGAAGTTGACGGTGTCCAGCCTTTTCTGGGAGTCGACTTTGGGAATTATTTTCTTCGGGAACGTCGATTAAGACGTCGCTTCGAAATTTCGCGGGATTGTTTCGATGTTCTCGAGAAAGGATCGCGAATTTTTTGGAGTTTGTTCGCAGCGAAATTGTGGAAGCCGTTCGCCGAGCAATCGGATTGTTCGGTGCTCGAATTTCCATGAAGTCGGCTGATACTTTGTGAGATCTTTTGCGAAGCGCATAAATAGCCTTCTTTGGAGCGATAAAGGAAACCATATGCTTGATTATGTTCGTAGATATATTTATCTGTGAAAGAAACGCGAAACGATGTGTTTTACCGAAAAGCAAGGACGAAATTTCTATAAAATCGTACCGCATTTATTTACACAAAGAACGCGCGACTTTATGGAAATGTCGCGCTTGCTTTTTGATAGAATACATAAACTTACGATCTTTTATAAATAAATATTGTATCTATGAATGTAATCACATATATATATTTTATTAATCCTAAAATTCGATGCAAGAATGGAAATTTCGGTTACTGTAAAAATGTCCTTAAATACGAATGATGACATTTTTATGCTGATCCTTTTATATAATCGCTGATATTTCTATCTTTCTCTCGTTGCTGATTAAAATTTTGACCGTTGTAAAAATTCAACTTTGAACTTTCCTGGTGCGGAAAAAGGTATTCTGCGTTGTACAAGACGCGTAATCCAGTTTTCGGAGTAAGAGAAATGGAAAATCCGGATTGGTTAGGGGATGAAAGAGAGAGTGGCACGGCGGACCGATCGCTGGAGCGATTTTATTTTCGCTGAAAGTGATCTACGAGCGACTGGTTTCCGAGCAGGAGGGCGGAATTGACGGAAAGTCGATTGGTCTCGGTCTCTCAGAGCTAAATTCGAACGGCGAAACAAGAGGTAACGAGTGAATTGTCGCGAAGGCCATCCAGCTCACTTTTCCCCCGCACTTTTCTCAGCTGATTCCTGGCCTCTTGTGCGCGGCACTCTCTTTCTCTCCACCTTCCTGTCTGTTCTATTTTCGTTTCGCTCGTTGTCCAGGCCTCGAAGGAAAAGTGTGAATTCCTATCGCTACCTCAATGCCGTCTAATCAATTTTTATCGCCACTTTTTTAACGACGCGATTCTATTGATCCATTGTTCTCGAATCAATCACCGGGCTCGCCGGTACACGTCGAAATTCCGCGGATTCCTCTACCGTAAAAATAGAGTCGATTGGACGATCTCTCGGACAATACAACAACCGTCGCCGCGATCGAAAGTCGATTAAATCGGCGGAATTATTTGCGGGGCTTTTTCTTTTTCTTCGCGCGTCAGTATCGCGATGCGTTGCATAATTCAGCGATTTAAAATTGGGCTCGGTAACTTCATCGATTCTTTCAGTGACCTGCGGTTCCTCGCTCGGCTGTTGTGCGTTTAAAGGTAAATTGTTGGCCTGCGGTAAGCGAACGTGTAATTTCGGCGATGCCTGTTATTGGCAGGGGATGTCCCGCTTGAAACCATGTATTTCGTTCTCCAAATATCGTTTATGGAAACTACGGAACAGGTAACATAATCTGTACCTTTTCTTTTCTGTAATAGCAGAAGTCACTTAAACGATTCGATTCTGCCGGAAATAATTCCTATTTCATTTTATATACCGTTCAAGTGGCACGGAATCAATTAGGTGCGTATAAAATTCGAGCCATCCTAAGTTGAGGCTTTTAGATCAGGTTCAAATGAAGTCCGAGTTAAGTGGCGTTTAAAATAAGTCTCGGAGTTGGACAAGATTTCATTCGGATGACGGGTAAAAGACAAAGACTTTACGAATAAAATTTTATTCGAATAAGAATCCAATCGAATTGTTCGGATAATGAATTTTTGGAATAGTTCGAATAAAGAATTTTTTCGAATTGTTCGAATGAAGTATTAGACGAATTATTCGTATAAGAAAATTATTCGAACGAAGAATTATTCGAGTGGAAAACTATTCGAATAAAAGAACCATTCGAACGAAGAATTATTCGAATAAAAGAATCATTCGAACAAAAAATTATTCAAATAAAAGAATAATTCGAACAAAGGATTATTCGAATAAAAGAATGTGTGATTCGAACAAAGACTAATTCGAGTAGAAAATTATTCGAATAAAAGAATGATTCGAGTAAAAAATTATTCGAATAAAAGAATGATTCGAACAAAGAATTATTCGAATAAAAAAATGTGATTCGAACAAAGACTAATTCGAATAGAAAATTATTCGAATAAAAGAATGATTCGACCAAAAAATTATTCGAACAAACGAATCACTCGACCAAAGAATGATTCGAACAGAAAACTATCCGACTAAAATATTCGACCGAAACGAATTCATTCGGCCAATTATCCTGGACAAATATTTATACGAAACAGTCCGAGTGTGATGCCAAACTCTGATAAGTCATATAAATAATTGTGTTCAGTTTAAATTAGGTCTGGGTTAGGTCACGTTTCAATTAGGTCAATCTCGAACGGGGTCTGCTCCAAAATCGGAGTCATTGATCAACTCCTCGGTCAAGCACGCATCGATTTCGAGCTCGTAAATTAATGGCGACTTCGGAACAATTCTCGCTACGGTACAATTAATTCTCAGCAGCGGAACGAGATTGTGCCACCATATGGGAGTGCGCGCAGTCCGAGTACCACGGTGTGCACCGTCTCGAATCGTTTTGGGGGAAACCTCGGGAGGAAACGGCGGATTAGATCAGCAAACATTTCACACGTTGTACATTCCCGATGGTTTCCTAAGCGTGTTGAACAGCGGCCGGTGGCCCAAGATGAATGACAGTCCTGTCGCGCCACGGTTCGTCAGGTCGGCCGACCCGCAAAAGAGTCTACACTAATAACTGGAGCAAAGCTTGTTGTGTAAGCCGGTGGGTGGCCGCCTTTCTCTGCCGTTGCCCAGGTTTAATACGACCGTTCTGTATGCGAGAACACCGATTCCCGTGGCGACGACGGGGATCGGATTCTTTTTACGCGCCGCGACATTAGAGCCCGGGGATCAGCTTTTGTGTAATAATTAGAACGCCGCCCGCGCCGCGCCGCGCCCCGCCTCGCCGCACCGCGTCGCGTCGTCAGCGCCGAGATATTTTAATTATACACGGCTGTCTTAATTGTGCTTAATTGCGGTGCCGGGATACAGACGAAACCGAGTCCCCGACGAAAGTCGATATCACCGAGAAATATTAGCACCGCGTAGACGCGGACTGAAATCGCGTCGACCATTTACAGCCTCCCATAAATCTTGCCGTGTGCTCGCATCCGGCACGTATTTCCTGCTGGAAAAAAATCGCACGCATTCCGCGAACGCGTTGCAAATTGTCCGGAAAATCGCGGAGAGAGAACCGTTTCGTAATTTCTCCGGGAAAAATTCGCGATGCTCGTCGAGCTTTTAATCGAAACGGGGCAAAGTTTTTAGACGAGGCGACGTTTTCGGATGAATATAAAATCGAATTCAATTTATATAATAGATAATTTAGCACACACACACACACACACACAGAAGAAGATTTCATTCGAGGAAGAATTCGTTCGAATGAGAATTATTCGAATTACATTCTCCCAAATGGTCCATTTCTATTCACAAGCTGAGCGACAATTGGAGAGAATTTACTATATTATTATTATTAATAACGATCTCTATAACTCATTCGAATCAAAAATTATGCGAATGATTGACTCAATTGAACAACCATTCGAATAATGAATAATCGCCTTACGAATAAAATATTCGGCCGAAAAGTACTCAGTCGGGTAATCAAGTTACATAAATACTTCTTCGAAACAATTCAACCAATGCCCAGCTCCGCTTTTAATGGCCTAAATCTGGTTCCCGCCTGTTACCTCGATTAATATACCGCGGTCGAGAAATCGGCGACGGCGCAAAAAATTGCCAGCACATTATGGGCCAGACTTTTCCCGTAAATTACAAAATTAGAAAATCGCCGTTGCCATTACTTCCTCCATAAAACGGGCGGGGAAATTAATTCGCGGCAGTTTCGAGCGCGGGGTTAGAAACGCCGAATGGCGCTGGCAATTACGATCGCTTTTCAATGCCTCGCCGCAGTTCCACTCAACAACGATAATAAAGTTACGACAGACCGGTGTTAATGTTATGCAGGGACCGCGCTGCGCTGCCCGGCCTCTTATTGTTGTGCCAATCGGTCCTTGCAGCGACGTAGATCGACCCTCGCACGGTATCACCCTCGCAGAACGTTGCCAGATGATAACACTTTCACTCGGGCACTCGTCGACGAACATTAATCAATCGTCGACGGGGCCGGAACGTCGCGGTCTGCGACTTTTGACGATTCAATCTGATCGCGATTCTCCGGGCATTTTTTTTCCAGGCGAACCGCCGCGCCGATCGTTTCCACATTTTTTGGTCGCTTTGTCGGGGCTTCGAGCTAACGAAATCAATTTTTGGTACGCGGAGAAATAATTATTTGACCGTGAAATAAATTCGGGGAGAACGTTTCAACCGTGCGCGTCAGTGGACAAAAATAATCGAGATTTAAAAATTGAGGACTGCGTCGTTTTGTTGCGAGTAGTCTGTGAACATTAAATTTTATGCAAATTTCGTGATTTGGTTATATTAGTTAGAAATATAAAATATATATAAATATATATAAATAA